CTGTATCATAGCTCAAGTGCATACGAATGGGATTTTGAGACTATGCTTCCTCCACATCCTGTGCAAAAAGACTTCTAAGCAAGTTCAGTGCAATGGTGTCTGCTTGCAGTTTGGGAGTTCAGATTTCAAAAGTATCTTAGATCCTCTTCTCTGGACACTTCCTGGCAGGAAACCAGTTAAAATGGGGAAACATAAATGCTTCTTCTATATGAGCTGCCAAATAAAGCCCTTTCTGCCTTCTAGACTATACCTAACAAGTGTTCCTCCATAGTCAGGGCACCCAGCTTCAGCACTGAGTAATCCAAGTGAGAAAAGCCTCTTAAAAATCCTGTGGAGGATGCCTAGCAGCAATACTGAGCTGCTTCTTCAGGGAGTACATTAAGTTATACTAAACATGACTGATGGATATTAGGAATGTTTTTAAAGACACCTATGTTGTGCACACCAGCATGTATTAGATGAATTTACACAAGGCACACAGGAGTTTTCTAGAGGTGGGGAATTTTTTCAGCTCCACTTACTATCATGGTACGTTTCAAAACCAATGCCCAGAAGCTGGTCACGTTTCTAGAAAGACAAATCTGAAAACGTCTTAATATCTTGAGCTGATTTTTTTCCCCCAGTTACTAAAATAACTTACCTGTATTCTGCCGTGTTCAGTAAAACTGAGAAACAAATCTTGCCCTGAGCAACCCACTTCTCCCCTGTTAGCAAAAGGAAGTGTTATCTTCAAACCATCTTATTTTTCTGAGAATGAAGACTACTGCATATTTAGCTTGACACAAGGGTGCAAGGTCCTTAGAGCAAGCACAGACATCCCTGCCCATTCAGAGGTAAGTGAATTGTCTGGAACCACAGCACTGACAAGACTGTTAACGCTGTAGTAGTAGTAACTAGAGCAAATCTTGCTGCAAGTGTACCCAACCTCTGCATTAGGGTTACAATGCTAGAACATTACAGCACTAGCAAGTTACATTACAGTGTATGTGCATCTAGATAATAAATATATGTGCACCATCTATACAGACACACTAATATATTACAGCAGAAAGTAAATTATATCAGGGTGTGTTTTTTTTCCACAGGCCAGTAAGTTTTACATCTATTTAGGAAAAAAACAACTGCCCCAAATAGTTTCTACATTTCCTTAGAGCATTCAGTTACACTGTTTGTTTTTAAGACATGAAGCTTATTGGTCCCAACATATGCCAAAGGCCCAGCAATGGGAAAACAGTCCTAGATTCTGCAATTACTTGCATGCTCAAACGATGATCAAATTTAATAATGCATGAATTGGATGCCTATCCAAAACCAGCCACCTGAATTTAGTTTTTGCAATAAAACCTTTAGTAGTTAAGTGTGCCTTGACTACATACCATACGCGTTTCATGTTCACAGCAGGTAATAATCACCTTTACACAGGGAGGAAGACAAATACCCCAGGATATTATTAACATTTTCCTTTATATATCCCAAAACATAGGATAGGATTTAAAGCATACCGCTTCTTCACTGTAAGTACTTGTATAAAAGTATTTCAACCTCTAGTTTCAAAAGAAATCAAAGTACTTTTAAAGGACCTTCATCATCTCCCCCAAGAAAACTCATTTTGGCTTTTTTGGGAAAGGCGTTTTAGTACTTAAGTTTTTAATTAAGAAAAAGACTCTTCTCTACTGGATAAAGTATCCAGTGTTACTAATTCCCCGCTGTAAGCAGATCCCTCATCATGTTGCAGCTTGGCAAAATGTAAAGCTGGTTTTGTTCATCAGAACACTTAAACAAAATTTTGTTTTAGGATTAATCTAATCCAATTTAACTACATTACCAGCAGTAAGAAGGCTATGTGAAAGAGCTGCAGCACCAGAATCACTATTCAGAAGCTTCCAGAACATTGTCATGTTGAACCATGGTTCAACCATTCAGAGGAGTACCTCTCACTGAAGATCTTACATGATAAAACTGATTCAAATTTACTTCAAAATGCCAAAATTCTGGACAAATTCTAAGGCGGCAGTCATAAAAATAAAACCTTAATTGCTGCAAACTTTCTGTTAACGTTTGTTAAAATGTCTTCAATTCACTTCATATTGAGAAAAGTGCACCTTAAAAGCAGTATGTAATTTATCACTTATCCGTACTATGACAAATCCAACATGAAGCTGCAGTAACTAGATGAAAAAAGAGACAGTCCAGAAATATGCAGTAGTCCTGCAGCAAGATCTCTTGTACTGCAACTAAATGCTGATGTTTTGACAAACCACTGATGAAAAATATTCAGATTGCATAAAGTGTACTACAAATTAGAGCAATTCTGGGGATTGATCCCTTTGACTCTAAGCACTCTGTCATTAGTAGTATCATACCCATCATGGGAGAAAGCATATTATTGTCTTCGCCTCCTGAGTTTAAAAAGACATCAAGTGCTTCTTGGTCAGACATGTCCATGAGGTCCATCTGTTCCAGCATGTCCACATTCACCTCCATGGAAGACATACTTCCAATTGGTTCTGTAGTAAAAATAGTGCAGTGAACAAACTGAAATCAGCCAAATGGTGTTATTACCTATAAAAAGCTTCAATAGCTGCTATAACTGGGTGCATTAGTAAACAATTAAACTAGATCTGGAAGGAGCACACCCACAGGAGCTGCCCAGCAGCAATTTCAACCCAATCCAAGAGTACTCTGTGCAGTCTTTATTGTGAAACTGATGTCCATTACTGGTTTCGTAAAACAAAACATTTTTAGCAAAAATACCTATAGTAACAGCACTGGCAGAAATACGCTAGGATGGGGCTCAGGGGAGAAAGATTGAAACTTTCCATTTTTTAATACTCATTTTCAATTCTCCCAACTAAAAGCATTTTTAGAGGAAAAAACCACACACATTTAAGCACAGTCACTAAAGGTCAATATACAAGGGATGTGGAAATTCAGAAATAAGGATTAATGTTCACAGAGAGCAGCCATTCCTCCTCCTCATTCAGTTAGACTAATAAATGGCAGCAGTATATAAAACCCAGGCTGATGCCCAATATCTTATCTCAGCATGGGGATTTCACATTATTAATTATTCAAGCAAATTACTTATTGTTGTCAAAATAATACTGACAGCTCGCAAGGGAAAGAAATACTTGGATGAGCATCTTCTTCCTTGAACAATAAAACATGCAAACACAGACAGTAAGTTCAGGGGTACTAAGGTTTCCAGCTGCTGCATGTATAACATCAAATATTACAATGAACAGTTTAATGGTTTCTCTAAATTTAACAATTACACTATTAAAAGCTTCATAAGTGAACTGAGATCATAGAATCACAGAATGGTTAGGGTTGGAAAGGACCTTAAGATCATCTAGTTCCAACCCCCCTGCCATGAGCAGGGACGCCTCACACTAAACTATGTCGCCCAAGGCTCTGTCCAGCCTGGCCTTGAACACCGCCAGGGTTGGAGCATTCACAACTTCCTTGGGCAACCCCTTCCAGTGCCTCACCACCCTCACTGTGAAGAACTTCTTCCTTATATCTAACTTAAACTTCCCCTGTTTAAGTTTAAAGCCATTACGAAACCCTATAATTTGGCTGGGGTTTCTTTTTCCAAATGTACTATAGCTCTCTAGTTTTAAATGTACTTCAGGATCAAATCTTTCATTAAAACAGTTTCTTTGAAATACATGGGTTCTGCATCGTGCTACAAAGCTGGAGTTCAGAAAGTTAAACACTCTAACAGAGCTGTGTGTCCAGTACTAGCCAGTGACAATGTCCACTTTTAGTCTAAGTGGAATATATCCATACAGAAAGCAGAAGACCCAACTCTATTCCTTCCTAAGGGATTTAGACTGACATATCCCACTTCTCAGAAGACTGTCCTAGCAACCCATCTAGAGCAACTTGTAGATGCACAGCTATAGCGCTCATGCAGAGAAATGGAAAACTTGGATTGTATTCCCTGCTCTGACATCACAACTGATACCAGAACTGTTCTTGAAGCAGGGACAGAATCTCTACATTTTTTTCCTGCCACATGAGTGATTTAATCTCCTGCTTGCTTGTTTTCTGGTCCTGCAATCCCTGCATTTTGGCCCAGCAGATGGATACCTCCCACATGGATGTCTATGGCATTCTTGTGCTTCAACTAGTCAGGAGGTGCCAGACTTGAGTCATCTCATAATAAAGAGAGCTTAACCTGATCTCCCATGTCCTAATCACACACTCTGTACGTTACGCAGACCATGGAACAGCTGTCACCTGGGAACTGTTCTGAAATACACCACCAAGCTCTCATCGGCACTCTTCAAATTCTCCTGAGGCACAATCCCAGGCTTTGGAACACTGGCGGACAGAAGGGGCCACCTCCACCCACATCTTTACAGTCACGGATGCACTCTTCAGCTGCAGAGAAAAGTGCTATTCCAGATGCACCTCAGTGCTTTGCGTTTTCTCAGACAACGAGCAGAGAGCCTAACTGGTTTTCTAAGGTACCTAGTTCTCCTGGAACCCAAAATTTGTTTCAAGAGCTAACCTGAAGTTTCAATTCCACTGAGGAAGAATTCAGACACTTTAATACTCCATCTGTAAGCTTTAAAACTGCTGCTGCCTCTGACCCCTCAACAGTGTTCTCCAAGTTGTGAGTTTGTGACTCACAGAAGGTATTTTAAAACTGTGTAAAATACCACAGAAGGTATTTTAAAACTTGCCTCGCCTCTCTGCTATCTGCAAGTATCCTGTAGAAAGGTATTGCTCCATGTCCTGCTGGAAGGCTTCTTCAAAGAACTTCTGACGTTCCTTTAGCTTCATCTGCTGGGTGTGCTCCATATCCAAAACCTTCTGTGCGTGTTCAGCATCTAGCTCAGCTGAGTGTAAAAGAAACAAACAAATAAAACATTGCATGGATATCCCGCCGACTCTCAGAATTTAAAAGGTACCGAACCTGTTGCACACCGACAGATTGTTACTCCAGACGGTTAACACAGGCTGCTGTAAAAGAAGGCTTCTGCGCTTTGCAACTGTATTTTAAAACTGGCAGGGTAAGAATATTATATTAGGCAGCGTAACCTTCACGTTAAAGTGATGTCACAGCTATTTACCTTGAGGCAAGCTGCAGATTTCTTGAACTGTATAAACGGCAACACCTGAAAGCACTGTCCAGCAACAACCAGGACTTCGTAATTCTGCCCAAAAGAGCTATCAGATAATGATGCTTCTGGTCTCTTATGCACCCAATGCACACAAGATTCCTACTTTTAATTTAAACTTTGCGGCACATTTCTACCACAAGTGGAAACATATAGATGTACGCATGCTTATACATACATATATATATACATATATACACACAAAGACACATACGTACATATGTGCACGCACATGCATGTGAGATTCTGTTTTTTTCAGCCTTCAGACAGACTAGAAAAATCTCTTGAAGAATATCCTGCATGTCGTGCAGGCACATATTCACAGAACCTGTGACAGGAGGTAGGTAAACAGCACTGTTTTTCACAGACACCACCATAGAGTCATTAAGGACAACATACAGGGTCTCCTCTGTTCACAGCAGCAAAAAAGGTGCCAGAAGATGATGATACCAACACCAAAAAAGCAAAGCAAACTACCATGAATTACTAATGTGACACCAAGCAGAAAGGCCAGTTTGTATAGCTCTAGCAGTTTCTCTTTCCTCCTACAGTGAAAGACTTATTAGTCTGGGTATCATTAGAACTCCTTCCCTCCTGTTTTGCTCCACAAGAGTTGCTGACTGGCCAAAGAAAAGAATCCAGCCAGACCATTATCAGAACATGCTTTAGGGGAAAAAAAAAAATGCTTTTTAGGAGGAATATATAAGCTGGAACCTTCCTCTCAGAGTTCTCTGTTCTTTTCTCTGTGCTGGTCCCACACAATAAAAGAATTTGCTAGCTGAGCTGCTGATGGGAAGGATGGGGCAGCGAGAAGAGCTGCTGGTCTGGTCTGGTCTGTTCTATCCATTAGAGGAAGCTCCAACAAATACTGCTGGGTAAAAAATGTCCAAGCTTACACACACCAGGCAGACACAGCTAGAGTATGGCATCCACATGGATACATGTGAAATAGCCTAAGATTATCTAGGACAAGCATCATGTTAGTCTCCCAGGGTAAATGTTATCTTAATGATATTTTACAATAAGGAAATTCATTAAAAGCACTTACCATTACAGAGATTATTATCGAAATGCAAAGGAAGTTTTATTAAACCAGGCAAAACATCAGAGAGCAGTAATTCACTCTGTTGCCTGCATCAAGGTCACAGATCATATATAGAAGCAAATGAGCTGTGATAGTTGCCAAAAGGAGCCGTAAGAATGGACTGACACACAAAATAGCCATTAAAACATCAATACATAAGCTGTTTTGATTTTTTAAAATGCAGATTTAAGCAGCAAAACATCAGTGTATAATAAGGAAAGCATTTGCCTTCAAATCAACACGTCTTTATTATCAATTACACTATGGTATACAATGACTCTGAGTTCCTTGAAGCACTTGACTACAGTCCTGAATGATGAGCCATTATTAACATTGTGTATGATGCAGAAAGGCCATTCAATTGTAATAATAAATGCCAGTGGCTCTCACTGACAAAAGAAATTTCCTTTTCCTCATAAGATATTCTGACAGTTTTGCACTCTGTATTGGTAGTTCAGGATATTTTTAACCCTAAACCACAGATAGCATCCAAGTAACATATGAGACTGATACAACTTCTTTCTTAACACTGCCTAAAATGTTCTGTTAACTATTGAAATTGTCGCTGGCCAAAGCTAAATGGTAACAGGTGCCTGCTGTGCTGACAAGTTCTGAGGAAACTCAGAATACACTGGCTGAAGAGTTGTCGTAGGCTTGCTCTCCAAAGTCAGTTATAGAGCGCTAACATCAAGAACCTGGCTACACGATTTCACGCTCTGCCAGGTGTAATAGGAGTTGCTAGGCTAAGCAAACTGAACTGCGACATTTGGGGTTTGTGTTTGTTGTCAGAAGCGATAAGGATGGCTAGATGAAGCTAACAGTCAAACATGAAGCCACAGAAGATGGGTGTATTGTTTCTTTCACAAAACTATCCAAAATTGCATTTTCCATAATTCATGCATAGTTTTACATGTTTATAAAACACTGAATAGAGCCAGCACCAAAGGAGTTCTAAGAAAGTGCCTAAGACAGACAAAAGTATCATCCATACACCATCATACACTCCTCATGTCCACATATGAATTCTTCCCAGGATGCAGACTGAGACCTGACACACTTCATAGAATCATCGAATGGTTTGGGTTGGAAAGGACATTAAGATCATCTAGTTCCAACCCACTGCCACGGGCAGGGACGCCTCACACTAGACCACGTTGCCCAAGGCTCTGTCCAACCTGGCCTTGAACACTGCCAGGGACGGAGCATTTACCACTTCTTTGGGCAACCTGTGCCAGTGCCTCACCACTCTCACAGGAAAGAGCTTAAAGTACTATTGCATTTTTCCTTTCACCATAAAATTGTACCTTTGAATGAGTAACCGCACCTATCTCCCAATCACACTGCCACGTGTAAAGCAAAAAGACAGATGACACAGAAAATGCTAATTCACAATGAGATGCAGACTTACAGGAGCTGCCGTGATAACCCAAATAAAAGGCAACTTCAGCTCTACACCAGCCATGTCTTTCAAGAGAACAGAACTAAAAGTAGGCAGAATATTTCTTAAAAATCAGAGACCCAAGCGCTGACGTCCAGCCTTCAGCACCATGGCCAACCCACAGCACAACTGACAGCCTGCCTCCTCCAAAGACCACACAAAGAGGGACTGCTCGTCCACAAAACTTCCATCTGCCACAAAACCTCCTTTTCTCCAGCGCTGCTGAACACCACACTCTCCACAGCCTTGCACTCGCTCTGCGGGTGCTGAAGCACAGAAGTTGGTTCTACCCTGAAACCAGTCACCTGGTTTCAGGGCCTGAAGCAGCCTCTGGGTATGTGCACCCCTACTGCGATGCTACACTGCCCTCAGCTCCTCGGGCCAGGGGAGGATTTATCAGGAACGATAAAAAGGGGATGATTTTACTTCTCCAAACACCTCAGCTTGAGAAAAAGCTTTAGTCATCAAGTCATCATTTGCTTCTTCTGCCCCTGTGCATTCTGCCTAAATGGGCTAATGGGACCTGGAAAGCTGCACCAGCTAATTCCAGTCATTAAAAGGGACTGCCCTGTGCTCGTAAAGGTCAATGAGAAACAAACTAACAAACTCAGTGCTCTAAGTGTAATCCTTAATGCATTAATCAGCTCTATGGGCACTTTCTCCCACAGACTTGTATCTGGGGGAAAAAAGAAAAAAAAAAAATCACCATCTAGCTATACAAACAGCTACAGACATAGAAATCAAGGTAAGACAAGGAGTATAATATTATTTGGTACAAGATCCATGTTTTCCCATCTCAATTTACGTTTCTGCTACTTCTGCAGCCAGAAGCTGTGCTAACAAGACACTGTATTCCTATTAAAAGATTAATTTATTAAAGCCAGGACCTCAAGATAGATTTTTTTTTTCTTAATGACTTTATAAAATATTTTTATTTATAAATGAACTCTATTTCTGGGAACAACCCCCTCCCATATCTTAAGCGTTTGAACTAGACACTAGAAAAAAATCAAAACTCCAAAGGAGCAAATTACAGTAGCTTATAATCATATAACTCAAGTATAAAGGACAGATGATTCATATGCCTGACACTTCCTACAAGTTAAAATTCTGCCACAGTACCTAAAGTTGCTATCCAACCAACCAAGTGACCATTTCATGCTTTAATCTACATTATTATACATTTTCCAGCTACAGTTACAAATAACACAAGTTAGAAGAATGACTACCGAAAAAATCAGCAACTCAAAGCACTGGTTTAGATTGCTAACACATCTCTTAGACCTAATGTGAAAGATGTTGAGTGGTCCAAATGGATGGCTTTTTGGTGCTTTCACACTGTTATACAATCTGTTTACTTTCCTTCAATTAATTTATTATGTTACTTCACAGTTCTCATCTAGTGAACTAGAATCCACAAATGTATCTGGTCTTAAGAGGGAAGGACACAGTAATACAAAAACTGGAACTTAGACTAAATGCCCTTTTTTACCCTCCCTCTCTATAGTTCATCCAGTCTTTACAGACTCATTCAACCAGACCATAAAGGGAATGCAAGTGTTCTTCACAGGGTTTTTTGCTTTCACTGAAGATATCAAAGTTTCAAGCAGCCCTCCACTGAACTCATTCCAGGTTTCTGATGTTCCTCCTGTACTGTGGGGTCCAAAATGGACACTGCATGTAGGTATGTTGAGTAAGGGAGGATAATCCCTTCCCTTATCTCCTGGCCATGTTCCCATTCATAGAGCCCAGGCAGCGGCAGCCTCCCCTGCTGCCAGGCGTGCTGCTGGCTCCTGCCCAGCTCGCTGCCCACTGTCCCCCCAAAAGCTTTCCACAGAGCTCAGTCCCCAGTGGGTCTCACCACAGGGCTCCTCCTGCCTGGGTGCAGGGCTTTGCATCTCTACTTGTTGAACTCCCCAAGGTTCCTGTCAGCCCACTCCTCAGCCTCTCCAGGTGCCTCTGGATGGCAGCCCTGCCCTCGCTACATTGACTGATCTCCCCAGTTTGGTGTCATCTGCAAACTCAGGGAGAGGGCCCTCCATCACGTCCTCCAAGAAAGACCAGTGTGCTGCTTGTTACCAGCCTCCAGAGAATGACCCATTAACTGCTCCCTCTAAGCCAAGTAGCTATCCATCTTGTTGCCCATCCATCCAGACTGTAACATCTTAATTTGGCTACAAGAATATCGTGTGAGAC